CCGTCGCGAAGTCTGAACGCTTTCTAAGAGCGCGATCGCGACGTCTGAACGCGCTCTGAGCTGCAAAAATCAGCTTCTTTGAAAGATAGCGTGCTTTCAAGCCATTAAACATACCTTGCAATCGAATATCGCATTATCTTTCGCAGCCTTCAATCTGGCCACTGCTCTACCAATCTTCAACGGATCCTCATCAGGTCCAACATGTACTCGACGTTCTTCAAAAGATGAGATTCAATGGCGCGAGAAAGCATCAACATTCACGGCCCGTGCATAACCTGTTACCTGAAAATATCGGAAATGAACGAACCCCCTTAACAACAGCAAGGCTATGTTCATACTTTCCGTCAGCGTTTTGAGCGTACGACACTTCAGAGCGACAATGGAAGCAATATGGATTTAGTGACTTGAGCGTTTCGTGGGTGGTTTTGAACTTTTCGCGGGCAGTCGCTGAAAACGGTATCGTACGCTGGATTGATACCTACACTTTTCTATTCGCCAAAACTCTCAGAACGCTGTCGCGAAGTATGAACGCACTCTAAAGCACTAACGAGGAGCTCCTCATAACAAGCAACACGAAGAACCAATAACATCATTGTATGAAAAGACTCAAGAGCTTGAAGCGGCGCTGTTCGGCTTGGTGGGGGCAACAAATGCTACTCACCCAATCTGTACAGACCACCCTGTGAAAAACTCTGAACTCTTATAACCAAACTAGCTCAGTTATACCATCTTGCAGCTTCACAGGAGCTAACAGGTTTTACCGAAACGAAACCTGTTAGTTAACATGAACTAGCAAAGGAATTAGCGAAAACGCTAAATGCCTCTTCCAAGCCGAACAGCTCCCTTAAAGCCAGAATAATCCACAGACATAAACCAACAATCGCGACTGATCCCATTCAAATCCTCAGAGAGCATGAAAAAATGACTTTTTTCTGATCGAAATAATAAACTATGAGAAATACAGCAGTCTATGGGAAAAGGGTCATTATTTCCAAGCAGGTGTAAAGTTCAAGCTTAATTTACTCGAACAATTCACAATACACTGGAAAAGTACAACAATCAATACGGCGAGTGCCGAAACGTATCCACAACGTTTTTTGAATCTATCAATTCATTGATTCGGTAATGCACAAAGTGCAGAGGGTTCACTCATACAGTTTTTGTTTAAGAAAAATTTCTCGTCAAAAGCTGAACTGAACTGCTTCATTATACAGCTAAAAAGTTTGTAGCAAATAGCAAAATTATGACAACTTCAAGCGCTGTCCTGGCTTGGGGGGGGGCATTTAGCACTTTCGCTGGTCTTGCCGGTTTCTGTCAAATGACACGTATCGCGTTGGTAAGACCTGTACACTCTTGTCAAGTGTAAACAAACCTCATCCTACTGCATATCTTTACAAGAGTTCATAGGTCATCGTGACATCAGCAGTGATCGATAAGAACAGCAAAGTGCCTCTAGCAAGCCGAACTACATCCGATTTTTCATTTCGAAAATTCTAATGGAAGAAAGTAGAGTTATTTTATATTCTCCATGGAAACCTAACTCCATACATATAACCACAGAAAGCCAGGGGCAGTTCGGCGATGGGGGAGGGGGCATTTTTCCCTTTCACTGCTCCAGAAGATTACAAGTCTGGTGAAACCTGTGAACCCTTGTAAAGCTGGAGCAGGTCCTTAATCCATCATGATAAAACCTAAAATGGATCGACGCGGCGATGAGAAGTAGCAAAAGTGCAAAATGCCCCTCCCACACCTCCCCCGGACGCCGAATTGGCCCGAAAACCACTACGTAAAGTGAAATTCGCGGCGACGATACGTACACCTTACCTCCGCGTATTCTTCGACCCCTCACTGGTGCAAGTTATGAAAGCGGCTTCAGAGGCGTTATTATGGTTATCCTTTCAGAAACGGCATTTCTGTATCGCAATAGAAGTTAAAAACTGCCTACGTTTGAAGACTCATAGCTGCCTTCACGGACAAGTTCCTCGCAGGGACTCATCCTATTCGTAAAAGAATCGCACTCGAGTTGCTGCGCCTCTTAGAATCCTTGTCGTCAATTTGGGCCACACTTGGAGCATCTTCGGCAAATGCGCAGTGGCTCGCTAGGACAGGCATCATGGAAATTAAGCCCGTCTCGCCGTAAGCACCTCCAGCGCCATTAGCAAGAGGGCGTCTTAACGATACCCTCCTGCCGCCCTTAAAGGGCTTTGGAAGGTATTGTTGCTACGACAGGGGTACAGCATCGCTCCCGGATGTGGTTGAAGGGGGGTGGTGATATAAGGGGTTAAACCCGCCGCCCCTTTGAAGAAAGGGATCTATGACCTCTCCCATCCCAGACAATTAACTGGCAATTATCCCGCCACATTTTCCAGTTATTCCATTTACCAGATTTTCCCTCTGAGCGAGGCTATGGATGGAGGGGGGGGGGAAATATAGTTACACATGGACACAGCAAAAAATCGGAAACGCTGAAAAGTCATCACCGGAGGAAATGATTCGCCAACGCAGCAGAATATGCTTCTTAAAAGGGGCGACATACTAGCCCCTCTCGTGCCAACGAATCGATACGACCCGCACCTCCCAGCGGAAAAGTACGACCCTGCTCTATGTGTTTCGGGCCCAACAGACTGCACCCTGGTTTGGTTTAATCGTGTGCGGCTGCTCGCGGCATGCGAGATCGACGCTGGCGTCACCAGCAGACTCCGATGAGACTTCCGCACCGCTTCTCTACAAGATATTGTTAGAAGCTGCTTAGCAACTTCCATATGATCTTTTGTCAAACGGTAGTCTCGATCCGGGATCGCTGAGGAGGGTCTACTCAAAATACGCGGAATCTATCCCATATCTGGTGTGGAGGCCTCTGCCCAGAATATCGCTGAACTTTTCTTTGCAAAAGCGAGCATTTGAGCGATGGGCACAACTTTTTTCAGGCATAATCTGCAGTGAAAATCTGAAAAAGGTAATAAAGGGGAGCAGAGCTGAGTATGCGCACGAGCGCGGTCAGCAAAAATAGACACGCAATGGGGATTTATGCCCGCCGCTCCACCAAGCAACAACTGAGCGCCCCCGCATTAACTGCAAAAGGGGGGGGGGGCTTTTGTAGATAGGCTCCATTCGAGTGGGTGTCAAAACTTGAACTCGCAATGACTGCAGCACATTCGTCACTCACTGTGGAATCGAGAAAGCGGGACAGCATCTGAGTCGGACGTACGGGTATGTGGCAAGAGAATTGTAATTCGCCGCGTAACCGGGCGCCGCATGCGACGTCGTGCCCGCTAGGTCGACGATTTTAGGTGATATTGGTCGGGACTAGACAATGTGTGATCAAAAACAGACAAAAGTGTCTATCTATCCCTTGCCTACATGAATTCGATGCTCCATCGAAAGGGTAGTGCGAATTAAGGAGACGTCGCGCCCATTGCCGCGCGCGATTAGCGGCAATTTACGATTCTTTTGCCCGTCTCCCTTCGGACGTACTTTAGTAGGTTGAGCTCGAGGTCTGCCTTTCGAGTGAAGTCTATATCTGATAATACTTCAATGTTGACTAGCTATTAACAGGTTGATTCATCTATGGAGACCATGGCATGAGAATCGAATTCGCCGCACCAGTGGGCGTCGCGTGCGACGTCGCGCCTGCTAATGACGACGATTTTAGGTGGTATTGGTCGAGAATAGACAATGTATGACCAAAAATAGACATAAGTGTCTACCATGTCCTTGTCTACATGAAATCCGATGCTCCAGTCGAAAGAGCATTGCAAACTAAGG